GTCGAGCAATCCTGTGAGCTGTTGGCTTATGTCTTGGTAGTACTTGTAACTGTGCCCTTTATGAGGTTGAACGTGAATATTGTGCAGTACACATAAATGTATGTGTGCATATGCTTATAGATATACAATTACATGCATACTCACGGTAGTTACATAATCTGTTTGTCAATTTGAGACTTAAGAGTGAAAGGGGTGTGTGTGTTGGAGTTTAGCCTGTCAATCAGGTCACAGCTTGATGACCTTATTTGGAGGTGCTAAGGAGATAAATAGCTCACTGGACGCAGGATACATGCTCACTCCCTGGGAGACATTACTGAGGACGAGCCTGATGGAGCTATGCTGGTGCAGCCAGAACGCAGAGAACTGGAGGAGCCACATGGAGACTCACTGAGATGCTTACACCACCATTGGATTCACAAGACTTTCCACCCACTGCCTGTGATCTTTCTTCCTGCATTTGATGTCATTGCATGGCTGCGTGAGTCTGAAGAAGAACGTATAGACTGGTAATGGACATATGGGCTAATATCAGATTTATGGACTTGATCTGGACTGGGCTGGGATGTTTTCTCAATATTCAATTGCTCTTGTATATAGATCTCTTTCTTACAGACACATGAGTCTCCCTGGATTTGTTTCTCTAGTCTACCTGGACTCCCACACTCGTGCTCACATGTGCATTCCTATATACATAGATGCATGCATATTTGCCTACATAACCACACATTTTACTGGCTGTTAGCGCTGTGGTAAAACTGCATGTTGTAGTAGTTTCTGAAGCGGTCCTTTATTCGTGTGTACTTCTTAGTGTCTTCATCTACCTCGGATACATTGTGCAGGCTTCACTCATACTCTGCGTGTGCCCTGCCCATCACCAAAATTAACAAGTGTCTGCTCTTGAGAAAGTGGTTCCCTTTCTTCCTCCTCCCATCTCTGATCGCCATCCAAGACTCCTGTCTTCTCTGTGTGTACTTGTTCTTCTGTAAAAGTGACTCTGACTGCTCTCTTTACGGGAACCCTCCATCCATAGAAGCTGGCCACCTTGGCCCCAGCTTGCCACGCCCATTTCTCCTCCACGCTGCCCCACTCTCTTCCTCTTCCTCTTCTCTTCACCGATTCTTGTCCTTAGCACCAGGCCGGCTCAGTTCCTGTCTCCTCCCATGCTGTTCCTCGGTGCCCCAGCCCTGACTGTCCAGTGTTTTCTTCCTTCCTGATACATGTATTTACTGCCTGCACCTCCCACCGCCCGCTTGGCTTTTCTGCCTTCGCTAGGCTAGGTACTTTGGGTTGAAGTAGGACAGGCGTACTTTGCACAATGTGAGAACCCCCATGCCATCTCTATTGTGATGCACAATAGTCACCACCTAAACCTGTGGGAAGCATGTAGGAGTCAGGAGCCACTCAAAGGCCTCTTTGTGCAGCAAAAACCGAACATTAGGTGCTCAGTGATACTCCTGATGAGGAGCTGGAGCTAAGAAAGGGATCTAGGCTTTGACAAATAAGAAACAGACATTGGAAGGAGTATGTGGAATTCCTATTACTAACTGCTCATGGAAGCAGTAGTCAAGAATTCAGACAGTGCATTACATTGGGTAGGTCTGCTGCACAGGACCCCTTTAAAGAGTTCGCAAGCAAGGATGTCACTCTGAGGGCTGAGGCTCACCTGACCCAAGCCATGGTGTTCTCAGTGGCCTCATAAGCCTGTGATGGGTGGACATCGAATAAGGAGGACCGAAGAAGACTCTTTGCCCTGGGACGATGGTGCTGGTGAAGACCGTTGACAGTGTCAAGGACTGCCAGAAGAAGAAACCAATCTGCGATGGAAGGAAAACCGCCAGAATGCTCCCTAGAAGTGAGGCTGGTCGGGCTTGGTCTCACGTTGTAGGACGTGTCCACAGAGGTTGGTCCCTAGAAAAGGCCGCCCTGCTTGGAGAAGGAGGAGGACCCGAGGCAAGAAGGATTAGCAGAGACTGCGGCAAGGGGCTAATCAGAGCAGCGGTGAGGGCGGTGCGGCCAGGTGCTATCTCCAGCTGTCCTGCGAAGGATTGCTGTGAGTCAGGACTGACTCCACGCCGCCTCCAACAGCTGTGGTTTTTAAAAATCATTCTATTGGGGCTCATATAGCTCTTACCACAATCCATCCATCCATCCATTGTGTCAAGCACTTGTGTACATTTGTTGCCATCATCATTTTCAAAACAGATTTTCTTTTTCAACAACGACTTTAGTTTCTTTCTTGAGAAGGAATTAGAATTGAGATAAAACCCCTTTCTCTGGAATTAAAGGAAAAACTAAAACCAAATCCACTACCGTAGAATTGGATTTCCAACACTGTCAATCTTTATAGGAACAGAAGGCATCACCTGTCTCCCCAAGGAGCGGCTGGTGGGTTCCACCTTCCAGTCCAGTCTCAATTCCAGTCCCGCCAAGCCAAACACTGCTGTGGATCGGATTGCTACTCAAGCGTTGACTCTCTAGGACAGAATAGAGTTGCCCTTGTGGGTTTCCAAGGCTGTAGACCTTTATGGGAACAGAGAGCCTTATCTTTCTTCACAGAGTGGCTGGTGGGTTCAAACTGCTGACCTTGCACTTCACAGCCCTGAGTGTAACCCACTATGCCACCAGGGCTTCTCAACAAGGACAAGGCATAGTTTTATCTTTTCAGATAAGGAACACAGGCATCTACACTAGATTGAGTCATCACATATTTTAAAAATGGATCATATCCAGTCTGCTTGATACTGTTCTAAAGGCTGGGGATGCAGCTGTGAACAGTAAGACAGCTCCTCCCTCTCAGAAGCGTATAATCTCCGGAGTCACTAGACATCATCGGGAGAACCAGAAGAAGGCTGCGACTACAGCTATCATCAGAGTAAGTAATGACATGCCCAAGCAAGCACAGCCAGATTCTGACTCAGAGTGACCGTATAGGACAGAGTGGAACCACTTCATGGCCCTTCTGAGACGGTGAGTCTTTCTGAGAGCAGGCAGCCTCATCTCGCTCCTGTGGAGCAACTAGTGGCTTTGAGCTGCTGACCTTACATTCAGTGTCCTGGCACTTAGACACTGCACCGCCAGGGCTCAGAAACCCTATGGAGCAGCTCTGCTCAGTCACGGGCTCTCGATGAGTTGAAGCCCAACCTGGTGGCATTTAACAAGAGTGGGTGTTATCATCCATTCCAAGTCGGCTGTGGTGTTCGGCCGTGAGTTCAGATTCTGACTTGGGTACTCTTTCCCCCACTTCGGTGGGGCACGGTCACTGGGGCTGTCTTCTCACTTTTTGTAATTCCTGCATTTAAATCACATCCCTGCGGACACCATTACTGCCACATTTACTTTCAACTTAAAGCAAGAGACTCCCAGGCAAACGATGCCATCTGAAGGTTGTCCCCAGAAGCAAAGGTAAGTCACCCAGGGGTCATCGCTGCATACAAGGAGAGATGGAGGCACAGGGAGGTGGGGGAGATGGGCTGCCTGTCCGTCCCATGCAGCTCGTGGAGAGTGTCCTGAACCCCTGCAGTACGGTTCTGTCTACACTTGATTGTCCCTCTGGTCATGTCTCCCACGTGCCCGGAAGGCTTTGGTCCGCCAGAGCTGTCAATCTGACGGTCTCATTGGCATGGCTTTCACATCAAGTTAATGCTCACCGAAGGGATTAGCAGGAACCCGCAAAGGGGTGGACATGTTCTGAACAGGCCAGGAAAGCCAGTAAGAGAAGTTAACTATGTAAATCAGTGCACGCACAAGCTGATCACCTTTCTGAAAGACCAGACAACGCAGCACACAACCTCTAAATAGATCTTCAGGGTCAAGTGAATGTCATGGTGAAGAATCAATATTTACTCGGCTTTATAAGTTAGCCTTAATGAACCCCCAGCATTTGCTAGGAGGAGGCACGGTGGCAGTGGCTGGTCTGTGCCCCTGGAGGCCACAGAGAAACAAGTGGAGAGTAGGGAACTTGCTGGTGCGGAAAGAGCCCTCCCTTCACGTTCTCTTCAGACATTGGGGGCTGCTTGAAGTGAGTTTCCTGGGGGTCGTATGGGGTCTTGCGACCTAATAGAATGTAAGCCCTGTTCCCTTGAGTCTGCCTTCTCCTGACAGTGTGGCTTCATTGCCCTGATGCCATTGTGGGTTCTGCCGTGTGACTGTGGGGATCACAAGGGCAGGTCCCTCCTAGACTGTGGGCACCCCTCCCCTGGCATCTTGAAAGAGTTTCTGAAGTGAAGGCAGCTCCCTAGAGCATTTGCTTTAGGACACTGGCATGAATCCAAACCTAATTAAAGGGTTTTGGTAAACCTTCCCACTTGCATTTGTCCTCCTGTCCAGGGGACTCTGATGGGTTGTGTGTGGTGCTGTGTCTCCCTCACGGCTGGGAGAATCCTTTGTGAGTCAGCATTATCTTCTATTTATTTTGATGCCTGGTCAGTGCTCCTGGTAGACCTGGGTGACTGGCTAGGGCAGTGGTTCTCAACCTTCCTCATACAGTTGCTCATGTGGTGGTGACCCCCCAACCATAACATGATTTTCGTTGCTACTTCATAGCTGTAATTTTGCTACTGTGATGAATTGGGCGACCCCTGTGAAAGGGCCGTTCGATCCCCAAAGGGGTTGAGACCCACAGATTGAGAAGCGCTGAGATAGAGGTAACGAAGGCCTGATCCACTTCCATCCCGACCAGAATGAAAGTTGGATCGTGCCGGGGCTACTGATGGACAGCACGGACAGCCCAGACGCTCCGTGCCTGGCCCTGGGAGTCAGGGCGTGGCCCGGGACGTTTGCTGTGGCCTCGCTGGAGACGTTTTAAAGTGCACTTTCCAGACCACGCTCCGAGTGTATTTTGATAGGGGACTCTTTAACACGACCCCCCCCTTCCTGTCCAGGATCGCGATTCAGAATAGACATGAGACTTGTTGGCACGCTGGGGTTTGGTCTTCCTGCCAGAGAGCCTGGTGGTGGACAGTTCAGACAGACTCACGGTGGATTTTTCTTTTCCTTTTCAGCTGTTTGAGAACTTCTGCTTCGGTGCTCTGAAGCTCAATTCCATTCACATCTCTCAGAGGTTCTCAGTGGACAGCTTTGGAAACTATGTCTCCTGTGGGCAGATTGACTTCTCCTGAGAAGGGTCTTCCCAGGCACTAGGAGATGAACACCCTCACGAGGTGCTGAAGAGAACGTCTCTGCTGTAATTGCCACAGAAGAGTAAGGATGGTGTTTTCTCTCCTGTGTGGAGGGTCTGCAGCTGGCAGGCCGCCATCAAGATGGCGGTGGGCACGAGGAGAACTGGCCCCTCTGGCCCCTGTCATCTTGATAGGGTCGGCTAGACTCTCATCTTTCCTTCCTGGGAGAACAGGTGACAGGCTTCTATGGAGAGTCCAGCCTTGGAAACCCTATGGGCAGGTCTCCTCTGCCCTCTAAGGTCACTGTCAGCCAGTCAGCATAAGGCACACGGCAAGAATCTTTCTTTCTGGAGCCCACCTGCTCTTGTCTCACAGTTGCTCAACTGCTGTCCACGCATACGCTCAGAGAATGAAGGACGGACTTAGGTTTCATTCATCCCGTAAGCTAGACGGAGTACCTAGTTTCTAAAAGGTTTGCAGTTTTCACTTCCCTGTGTACCCTCCCTTCCTAGCTTTTCTTCTCTACCCCGATAATGGGTAAGAATTCGATCTCGTAGCCAAACAGCTGTGTAAGTTTTTATCTTGTACTTGCTCAAGGTGACCCTTTTCTTCTAAAGTTGGTACTTTCTTACTTAGTAGATTCCTGTTCCTTCACCCCCCCCAACCCCCATCTTCTCCTGCCGCTGACGGAGTTGCATATTTGTAGCTCTTTTCCGTTTACTCTTCTGAGGTCAGGGGAACTGTGGAGTGTACTCTGGGAAGGTGGGCAGCCCCAGAGATGCGTCTCCCTGCTGCTGGCCTCCCTCCCCAGCTCCTCCTGCCTCCCACTGCCGCTTCCCTCCTCTCATTCCTCCCCCCACGTCCCCGCCCGCCTCTTCCCCTGCATTCCCCATTCTCCTTTTCTGTTCCTGAGGTCAATGTGCCTGCATCGTGAGGGTTATGGATGACACCCAGATTTTGTTTATCGGTTGTGACTCTCTTAATCATCTGTGAATAAACAAATTTCCAAATGAACTGTTTTTCTTTCATTATTATCACATAGTTCTAATTGGACCTCCTCCGTCGTGCCCTGGGGTACCACGGTGCCATCACTCCCTCAGTTTTGCAGACTTACATATTGGTGCCGGCTCGGTGTGCTTCCCCCAGGGCCACGCCTTTCTTTCCTCCGGGGTGGGTTCACTGTGTAAATGAGACCCTGCTCATCTCCTGGCTAAGGGCATGTAGGAAGGTGTGTCCCCAGAGCTAGCTCCCAGGGGCTGGCTGTGGAATTCCTCCCTGCCCCTCCTCTCCTCTCCTCGGGGTGCCACCTCTGGGTTGCTCTGAACACCTGCCTTTGGGCAGCCTTAGCCAGAGGTCTTCTTGAGGGTTTTAAAGCTTTTAGGAAATTTTTTAAGATTTGGCTTAAAAGTTAAAAAATTTTTTAAATGTAATTTCATATATCAAATACTAAATTCCTAATAGGTTGTTACTTGGAATTTTCAAGATTCATATTTCAAATTGTCCAGAAGTCTGTAGGCAAATTGTTGGGACAATATAGGTCTAAAGAAATTTCAGTTTTAACTGTTATAGAAGGGGGAGTTCTCTGTCACCCACCACACTCCCTACTTTGGTGATTGGGTTTGATAATTCATTGCAATGGCCACACACAACTCAAGTCAATACAACTCTGGGGTTTATTAGGCAAGTCAACAGGTTACAATAAATGCTCAGGATAGTTGCTTGGCCAGGACAGTTTCTTTCCTGCCATGCCTGCATGCAGGCCTCTGTAGCCCTCAGCCTCTTGGTCTCTACCCTGCTCAGTCAATGTTACAAAGCTCTTTGGGGCTGCCAATAAATGCACAAAGGGTGGGTCACTCTGCGGTAAGCCTCTACCTAAAGGCACTCAGCTCCAGCTCCGAGGGTCAACAAAACCAGCTTCCCCAATTAAGTGGCCAGAGGCACCCCACTCCATAACCTAGCCACCTGCCCCAAAGCACTTAGCGTTCCCTTGTGGACTGTGGCGTCTCATGCTTCGGCTCTTGGTTCTGCTGATGTTCCTCTGCTGTCAGAGCTGTCTCCTGTCAAGGAGATTCAGAGAGCAGGGTCCAAAGGACACATCCCACTTTGGCTCTTCTCTTTTGCCGATGGGGAGAGCCCACTTCCTGTTTCTGAGACAGCTCATTTCATACCCAATAGGAGATGGCAATCACAATGGACCCTGATAACAATCACTCATAGCTGAAGCATATAATCTTTTTAAAAAATCATTTTATTGGAGGCTCCCACAACTCTGATCACAATCCATACATACATCAATTGGGTAAAGCACATTTGTACATTCATTGCCCTCATCATTCTAAAAAAATGTGCTCTCCACTTAAGCCCCTGGCATCAGCTCCTCATTTCCCAGCCCTCCCGACTACCCCCTCCTTCATGAACCCTTGATAACTTAAAAAGTATTATTTTGTCACATCTTGCACTGTCCGACGTCTCCCTTCACCCACTTTTCTGTTGTCTGCCCCCCAGGGAGGAGGTTATATGTAGATCCTTGTAATTGGTTCCCCCTTTCCAGCCCACCCTCCATACATCACCATTCTCACCACTGGCCCTGAAGGGATCATCCGCCCTGGATTCCTTGTGTTTCCAGTTCCTATCTGTGCCAGTGTACATCCTCTGGTCTAGCCAGATTTTTAAGGTAGAATTGGGATCATGAGCGTGGTGGGGGGAGGAAGCATTTAGGAACTAGAGGAAAGTTGTATGTTTCATTGTTGCTACACTGCACCCTGACTGGCTCATCTCCTCCCCGTGACCCTCCATGAGTGATGTCCAATTGCCTACCGATGGGCTTTGGGTTTCCACTCCACACTCTCCCTCATTCACAATGATTTAGTTTTTTGTTCTTTGATGCCTGATATCTGATCCCTTCGACACCTCGTGATCGCACAGGCTGGTGTGCTTCCATGTGGGCTTTGTTGCTTCTGAGCTAGATGGCCGCTTGTTTACCTGAAACATACAATCTAATCCATTATCTCCCCCCACCTTCTTACTCAGACCCATCAGGAAAGCAGAGGTGGTTTGAGAGTAACAGAACTGATGGTGAGTAGAGCCATATTAAATCACCACATTGCAGGAAACAGGCGATCGTTTTGATGTAGAATTTCCATGAAAAAGCAAGAGTGATGGAGAATGACGACTTTGTGAGGGCACTGAAAGAATTTGTCCAAGCTCCGAGGCTGCTTCTCATCAAATTGCAGGCAGACCTCAGATATTTCTGGTTCGGTTCCAGGCCACCACAATAAAGTGAATATAGGAAAAGTCACCCAATTTTTTTGGTTTCCCAACACATGTAAAAGTATGCTTACACCACACTGCAGTTTATTTCATGTACAACAACATGAAAAAGTGAAATACTATGAGAAGGAGCAAAACATGACTCAGAGCACATGCGTACTGGGTCAGTTTGCTCGGTGCCACAGACCTTCCATTTGTTTAAAGAAACAAAGACAGGAACACAACCCACTGGTATCAGCACCATACTATAAAAAGAGGCACGTCTGCGTGTTGGGGTTTTTGTAATGGAATCTCCATGAGTGGGGTCGCTTTGCGGTTCATTGTCATGAGATGGGGCCGACGTCACAGCTGTAGCTGCCTTTTGAGGCACTGACTTCGCCTCAGGCCCCGTGAAGAGGGAGGGAACTGTTACCGCCACACTGGCATTGCACGGGCGTGCTGTACAAGGAGCACTGTCACGGGAAGGCGTTGTGATGGTTTTAGAGCAGCTGCACAATGAGTTACCTCGGCGTGAACTCCAGTACTTCACATTGTGAAAAATCATGAAGCCATGTATTTATACTTTGTACGAGGAGGTACCCCCCAAAAAAACAGATTCCCCCCAAAAGCTATGTATTTTAATTTTTTTACAAACCAACTTATCACCTTTAAAGTACTCTCCATTACACTTAATACATTTGTCAAATCTGTGATTCCATTCTTGGAAACATTTTTCAAATGTTTCATCTGTTGGATGCCTGAGAGTACCTCCCTGGTTTTTTCTTCAACTCTTCAGTGTCGTCAAAGCCCTGTCCTTTCATGTCCCTCTTCATTTGCAGAAACAAAAAGAAGCCACACGCAGTGAGGTCAGGTGAGTAAGGTGTGTGGGACAAGAGAGGCATGCTGTTGTGGGTTTTGTTTGTTTTTTTGCCAAAAAGTGGCGCACTGAGATGGCTGCAGGGGCAGGTGCATTGTTGTGGTGACAAAACTAGTCCCCCATCTGCCACCAATCGGGCCTTTTTTGGTTGCATACTGTTACACAATATTTCCAGAACCTCTATATAGAAAGCTCGATTAACAGTCTGACCTGGTGGTATGAACTCCAAATGCACTGTGCCCCTCATATCAGAAAAATAAATGAGCATCGTCTTGATCTTTGATTTCACTCGATGAGCTTTATTTGCATGAGGTGACGATGGCATCTTCAACTGGCTTGGTTGACGTTTACTTTCAGGGTCGTAAGAGGAGCAGCATGTCTCATCACCAGTAATGACCTTGGGGAAAACGTCTGGGTCACTTCAGAGCTGTTCTTTCAAAGCACGGCTTGTTTCCACTCGACACTGTATTTCCAGTCAGAACTTGAGGCACACACTTCACAGTGATCCTTCTCAGTCCCAAATCTTCCGTTAAATTTTACTGAACCAAACTCCAAGATAGTACCGATAACTTCCCCATCTCTTCAATGGTCTGTCGTTGGCCTTCGAGCACAAGCACACCAATTTTGTTGGCATTTTCTTCCATTTGGGAAGTTGATGGATGTCCAGAATGAGGTTTGTCATCAGTCGACATTTCACCTTTTTCAAAATGAGAAAACCACTCATTCACCTGAGCTTTCCCCATAGCGCTGCCCTTATGCTCTGTGTCCAACATCACAACAGCTTCTGTGCCATTTTTCCCGTGCAGGAAACAAAATTTCACAGCCACACACTGTTCTCTTTAAATGGCCAACACAGAAATCAAGGTTTGAGCAAAACTGCTTTTACAAAAAAATTCACTGTGACCGGAGAGAACCTTCCCAGGTGACGTCGGACGCACGGACTCAGGGTGAGGTGCTCAGTGCTTGATGCACGTCTAGCGGGGAAATGCGAATCAGGAAAGCTCTGCCCAGCGGTTATGTTTGGGTACCCCCACCCCGTATACTGTTGTAAATGTATACTTTGTACTCCAGTATATGTGTTAAAATGTTCTATATTTTAAATGTACCTCATCACCAGAGGTACAGCACTCTCTGTAATGCATGTACATATTCTATCATTAAGTATTTCCCCACAAATAATAGCTAATGTTCTTTGAGTGCTCACATGTGTTGTTGTTGGAGTGTTAACTCATTTGCTCTTTATTACAGCTCAGGTTGGTGGTACTATTATATTCATCTACAGGTGATACAACTGAGGCTTACCAAGGTCATACATTTTATAACAGTGTTATTCTTAACCACTGCACCAGTCTCTCCGTGTGCCCTCCTGTCTCTGGGAAACTTCCTGGAGGTCCATGCGGAAAGGGAACCCTGTCGTGGAGGTGAATTAAAGGTTTGGCTGTTGATTACAAGGTCAGCAGTTCAAAACCACTGGCCACTCTGTGGGAGAAGATGAGGCTTTGCGCTCCCATAATGACTCCGGCCTGGGCAACTGGCAGAGGCAGTTCTACCTGTCCTGTCGGGTCTCTGTGAGTCAGATTGGCCCGACGGCAGCGAGTGCGGGTTTTGGTTGGTGAGGTAAAG